TTAAAATCTGATTTAAATAAATAATAAAAGACTGGAAATAAATTAAATAACTTACTTGATTTAATTTCTTCGAATTATAATCTGATCAATTCCAGTGTTTGATACTGTGTCCTTAAGACAGCTTCGTCCTCTCCACGTTGCTTTCAGAAATTGGACGTCTATCTCCTAGGATGAAATGATTTACTACAAACAATAGCAGCACTACAAATTGTTTGCCTTACGAACACACTAAGTGTTTATACTCTTTCTTTCAGAAAATAAATGCAGCAAAATACAGAGATTTTTATTAGAGGATGGCGTACCAAAATTCGAGATTAATCCAAATGGGAGGCTAGTCTATTTATAGATGCAAAGGTGGCTATTGGTTTTGAATTGAACAGGTATGAAACCTGTTGGTTTTGACAGATAACAAAACGGGAATGGCCCTGTTTGGGTGTGCAATAATACCAGACTGGTTTATTTCGGGAAGGGCCCTGTTTGGATGTACAGTAAAACCAAACCAATTTAATTTTGAACGCGTGTGTGGTGATTTTTGGTTCCAATGAATCTAACCCATTTTGCCCATAACCTCTTCCTTTAAAACACTTGGGTACCCCTTGGGGCACACCCCAAATACCACCACGTTGCTTTCAGAAATTGGACGTCTATCTCCTAGGATGAAATGATTTACTACAAACAATAGCAGCACTACAAATTGTTTGCCTTACGAACACACTAAGTGTTTATACTCTTTCTTTCAGAAAATAAATGCAGCAAAATACAGAGATTTTTATTAGAGGATGGCGTACCAAAATTCGAGATTAATCCAAATGGGAGGCTAGTCTATTTATAGATGCAAAGGTGGCTATTGGTTTTGAATTGAACAGGAATGAAACCTGTTGGTTTTGAATTCAAACAGATTTGAATCTGTTGGGTTATACATCAAACAGATAACAAAACGGGAAGGGCCCTGTTTGGGTGTGCAATAATACCAGACTGGTTTATTTCGGGAAGGGCCCTGTTGTACAGTAAAACCAAACCAATTTAATTTTGAGCGCGTGTGTGGTGATTTTTGGGTCCAATGAATCTAGCCCATTTTGCCCATAACCTCTCCCTTTAAAACACTTGGGTACCCCTTGGGACACACCCCAAATACCAAACCCAAGCCTTATAAACCCTTTCAAAACCTTCCACCAAATCAATGTGGGACAAGCCATTTTACAACTTTAAGAAATTTTCACAAAAACTCCATTTCCATGGAGCACACTTTGGCTTCAATTTCCCATTCACTCGGTAATGATTTTGAGCAACCAAATATACCATGTGAATCACAACGCGGAATAGAACGCGTTACCACTTTGACCCGTGAAAATCGACGCACGAAACCTACCTAAAAAATAGATCGAACTTAAGATAAAATTCTGATTTTACCCAAAATTTATAACCATTTCCAACAATAATATGAGGTGAGGGTTGCACCCACGTCTTATGTTATTTTTCCTAAATCAAACACAAAATAGTAAATCGTGTTTCAAAATTTATATAAAAATTATTCAATCTATTTTAAAATATTAGTTTTTTATTTTATTTTTTATTATTTTAAAATATTTTTTTTTTCAAAAATTGAAGATTAAAATAATATGAATTTTTTATTTTATCCTTCTATTAAATTCATTGATATTAATATACATAAAAATATAATTATGACAATTAATATTTTAAAAAAAAGTCAAAGGGTAGTTTTGGAGTTTGGCATTATATATATATATATATTATTTTTGAATCATATTATCTCTCTTTTTTTTCTGTATATATTTCATAAGAAGTTAAAAAGTATACTTATTTAAATTATTTTAAATAAATATTAATATTTTAAAAATGTAATAATTGTATTACCAGAAAAAGTTAGACTGTCCAAAAGGGATTAAGGGCTAATTTGGAAATAATCTAAATGTACTTATTTGATAATATATTTATTTGAGTCACAATATCTTTTTATTTTTTTACACATATATTTATAAAAAAAAACCAAAAAATATGCTAAATACTCATTTCGTCACAAAATCATAATCTCTTTTGGGAGAGAAAAATGTGTGTTTGTGTGGGTCCCACACCCATATAAGAGGTTTGGTAAAACATTTGATATATTATTTGAGATTTCTAGCATTACTCTTGAATTTAACTTTTTTTAGTAATACAACTATTGCACTTTAAAAAATTTTGATTTTTCAAAATTACCCTTTGATAATATATTTTTGGAGAATATCAATTGCCATAATTTTATCTTTTGTATTATTAATAAATTTAAAAGGAGGACAAAATAAAGAATTTATATTATTTTAGTCCTTAATTTTTTATAAAGATTAATATTTTGAGATAATAAAAAATAGAATAAGAGACTAAATTTTGAAACGGAAGGAGTAAATAAATTTCAAACAATCTCTAATATTTTAGGACGAAAAGAACAAACAATCAAAATCACTTAATAAATTTTATAAACACCATATCGTAAAAGAATAATGATTTGTAGCTCGAAAGTTCTTCCCCCTAATCTCCTGAATGATCAAAACGACATCGTTTTGGGCATTCTATTTTTTTTTTAATTTTTTTTTCTGTAACAGAGGGAGAGAGAGGGAGAATCAGAGGGAGAAAGAGAGAGGAGGAGAGGGAGAGAAGAGAGGAGGGGAAGAGGGAATGGAGGGGGAATGGAGAGAGAGAGAGGCCCCTCGATCGTCGTCCCGCCGATCGTCGCAGCTCACTCCGGTTGTCACAGCTCAGCTCCGATCGTCGCAGGCCCCTCGATCGTCGTCCTGCCGATCGTCACAGCTCACTTCGGTTGTCACAACTCAGCTCCGATCGTTGCAGATAGCCCTACTTCCGCCTCCGCCCTGCCTCGCCTCCGCTCCGCACTGGTTGATGGCCCCTCCAGTCATTCTCTTCTTCCTTCTCTTCTTCTTCTTCTTCTTGTTTTCTGATTTTCTTCTTTCTCTGATTCTTTCTCTGAAAAAAAAAAAAAAATGAAAACGACGAAAACGGCATCGTTTTCATTTCGGAGGGGGGATTCGGGGAAGCTCTTTTGAGCTACCAATCACTACCGATCATAAAATCATACGTCATATTTTGCCTTCATTTGGTATAAAATAAAATGGCTATTTTAAACTAAAATAGTGACAAAAAGACAAAACAAATTTTGAGTCTAATAAGATAAAATATCATATCTAAATTATAATTATTATTTTTTTTTTACAAAAATTAAAAAAATTAAAAAATCAAAAAAACTAAAAAATCAACTCACTTCCTAAACTAAGCCTATATAATTGGGAAGGATTTCGCTTCTAGACTATAGAGAATGCTCACCCAAAAATTTATCAAAATTTTATTAAATGTCTTATATAGGTATGAGACTGCTATCATATAACAAAGCTGTTACAAGGCCCGAAATTTTCAAGCTCGAATTTGCCCCAAATCCAAAACGACGTCGTTTTGGATTATCTTACCGGTAAAAGAATTTTAATATATTTTACCGATAAGAGAATTTTATTACATATTACCAGTAAGAGAACTCAAAACGACGTCGTTTTAGATTATCTTACCGGTAAAAGAATTTTAATATATCTTATCGATAAGAGAATTTTATTACATATTACTAGTAAGAGAACTCAAAACGACGTCGTTTTGGGTTTCGAGCCAAACGATTTCGAGCCCTCAAACAATTTTCTATCATGTAAATTTTATGCGGGTCTCACAATGTGAGAGTTTTGATAGAAATTTTAATAAATCTTTAAAGATGTTTAACATTATTCATTTTATTGGTAAAAATTATTAGATAGAGATTTTTTATGTGAAGCGTGTATAATCGAATTCTTCTTTGTTTTATTATAATGCTTAAATTTTATGATATTTTTTGGTAATTGTCCCTAACTTACTTCACTAACTACTTTAAAAAATTGTTTGGAAAAAAAATTAATTTAACAATAAATTACATGGATAGGTTTTTTAAGAATTTTAATTTATAAAATAGTTCGCTCATCAAAATCACTTAATAAATTTTATAAACACCATATCGTAAAAGAATAATGATTTGTAACTCGAAAGTTCTTCCCCCTAATCTCCCGAATGACCAAAACGACGTCGTTTTGGGCATTCTATTTTTTTTTTATTTTTTTTCTGTAACAGAGGGAGAGAGAGGGAGAATCAGAAGGAGAAAGAGAGAGGAGGAGAGGGAGAGAAGAGAGGAGGGGAAGAGGGAATGGAGGGGGAATGGAGAGAGAGAGAGGCCCCTCGATCGTCGTCCTGCCGATCGTCGCAGCTCACTCCGATTGTCATAGCTCAGCTCCGATCGTCGCAGGCCCCTCGATCGTCGTCCTGCCGATCGTCACAGCTCACTTCGGTTGTCACAGCTCAACTCCGATCGTTGCAGATAGCCCTGCTTCCGCCTCCGCCCCGCCTTGCCTCCGCTCCGCACTGGTTGATGGCCTCTCCAGTCATTCTCTTCTTCATTCTCTTCTTCTTCTTCTTCTTCTTCTTCTTCTTGTTTTCTGATTTTCTTCTTCCTCTGAAAAAAAAAAAAAATGAAAACGACGAAAACGGCATCGTTTTCATTTCGGAGGGGGGATTCAGGGGAGCTCTTTTGAGCTACCAATCACTACCGATCATAAAATCATACGTCATATTTTGCCTTCATTTGGTATAAAATAAAATGGCTATTTTAAACTAAAATAGTGACAAAAAGACAAAACAAATTTTAAGTCTAATAAGATAAAATGTCATATCTAAATTATAATAATTATTTTTTTTTTTACAAAAATTAAAAAAATTAAAAAATCAAAAAAACTAAAAAATCAACTGCGAAACGAATCATTTGTAAATATCTGAGGTGAAATGAAAAAATAAAATAAATAAATAAAAATGTGAGGTTGGAGTTGCACCGACGTCATCAAACGATTTAAAAATCTATTTCCAGAACATTCTGGAATAATCTACACAAAAGGCGGCAAAGTTATAAATACACGCTCCCCATACTATCTTTCCCAATTGAAACCTAGATTTACTTGCTGCCAAAACTCTTTATAGCTCTCTTGTTCTTTTTTTTCTCTTCAAATTCAATTCTGTGTCTTTGCTTTTTCGTTCGATATTAATCAGAGTTTTGTCATGGCTGGAAAGGGCGAAGGTCCGGCGATCGGAATCGATCTCGGAACGACCTACTCGTGCGTCGGAGTGTGGCAACATGACCGTGTCGAGATCATAGCCAACGATCAGGGCAACAGAACGACGCCGTCTTATGTTGCTTTCACTGATACGGAGCGTCTCATCGGCGATGCGGCCAAGAACCAGGTCGCCATGAACCCTATAAACACCGTTTTTGGTAAGTCTTATGCTTATCATCATATTTTGTTTTGTTTTTTTTACTGATCTGAATATGATTATGTTGAAAGTACATGGATCTGTTTATATGATTCGAGTCTCTGTGAATTTATATGAGTTCATGCGAGTTGGTGTATGGAATTCTTGAATTTTGTGTACAAACACTATTTAAAAAGTAAAAACTGTAGCTAAATGTTGATTACTTATTCTTTCAAGGAGGTATCTGTTTTGAATTGGATGTCATCAAAAGTTACTTTATTTGGATCTCGAATTTTTTTTGTAGATTTGTGTTTGTACGGACTGTTTTGGGAGTTTTTCCTTGGTCTATCTTGATAATTTGAACAGTTCATAGAGTTATAAAGTTAATCGGATATTAGTTAGGTCTTAATTTTTTTTTGTTTTTTTTTTGTTTTAAAGATTATCAGAATTGTGTAAATTTAAAAAACAAATGTGATCCTATCAACTTGAATTTTTGCATACTCAATAGCCTATATAGGACCGTTGAGAAGGTCTCATGGAGTCGATCGTAGGATTGGATCGAGTATGTTAAGATTCTACTTTCTATTAAAAATAAGGTAAAAATACAAATAAGGATAATTCATATTAAAAAGAAGGTGAAAAATCATAAATCTATCGATTCTATTTACGATCCTACTGCGATCCTACCATAATATCAATCCTACAACAATTTAGATCGTGTTAACAATTTAGGATTGCAGGATTGTATGATCCGGATTGCAATTTTGATAACCATGCTCACAGCAGGATCCCCATTCTGTGTTGGGTATGCAAAAGTCAAGAAATTTGAATGCAAACACAATTATATCTTTTCAATAAATTGTTGCTCATTTGAGGTTGATTATGAAATAAGTCCAGTAATGCAGAAATAAGACCACATGGTTGTTTCTAAATTTGTAATTGATTTCTCTGCGTAAGTCAAAGAATTGATTATTTATATGCGTTCTCAGTAACAAATTGTATGCAGATACCTCCAAAAGTTAATTTGGCTTAGCTTGTCTTTTTATTTATAATATAATCCTAGTCTTTTATGTAATGTCAAATGTAGTCTGCACCTATAAATTAATTGTTTGTCTTTGCATTTTTTGGTGCTATCACAGAAATTGGACCCTTGGATATCTAATTTCTAAACCAGGAGTGTTACTCTTCTCATGTCTTGATAGTCGTACTCCATATATGATCACACTGGTAGCCCATAATTAATTTCACCAAATTATGATATTTTCATTTATTATTCAATATGATTTCTGGAAAGAATTGTTATTGCATCTCGGTTATTAGTTTTCGGACTACCTAATAAAATAGATAAGGAAGAGATTTGCTTTTGTTGAGTTGTCGGTTGTCATAATCTCTTGGTGAAACAGTTTTATTTATTTTTAAGGATTCAATATATCGTATTGTCTTACAAAGAAGAGCCTACAAAAACAGATTTGTGGTGTTAATTAATGAGTAGTGGTGATTAACATTATCTTTATTTTTTATCACAGATGCAAAGCGTTTGATTGGTAGGAGATTCAGTGATGCATCTGTACAGGCTGACATGAAGCTCTGGCCATTCAAAGTTGTTCCTGGTCCTGGTGACAAGCCCATGATTGTGGTCTCCTACAAAGGCGAGGAGAAGCAATTTGCTGCTGAGGAGATCTCCTCCATGGTCCTCATCAAGATGAAAGAGATTGCTGAGGCTTTCCTTGGCTCAACAGTAAAGAATGCTGTTGTTACTGTCCCTGCATACTTCAATGACTCCCAACGCCAGGCCACGAAGGATGCCGGAGTCATTTCTGGCCTAAATGTTATGCGGATCATTAATGAGCCAACTGCAGCTGCGATTGCTTATGGTCTAGACAAGAAAGCCACTAGTGTTGGGGAGAAGAATGTTCTCATCTTCGATCTCGGTGGTGGTACTTTCGATGTTTCACTTCTCACAATTGAAGAGGGTATCTTCGAAGTGAAGTCCACTGCTGGTGACACTCACTTGGGAGGAGAGGACTTTGATAACCGAATGGTGAATCACTTTGTTCAGGAGTTCAAGAGGAAGCATAAGAAGGACATCACTGGAAACCCTAGAGCCCTTAGGAGATTGAGGACAGCTTGTGAGAGGGCCAAGAGGACTCTCTCATCTACTGCTCAGACCACCATTGAGATTGATTCTTTGTACGAGGGTGTTGATTTCTACTCGACCATTACTCGTGCCAGATTTGAGGAGCTGAACATGGATCTCTTTAGGAAGTGTATGGAGCCTGTTGAGAAGTGTTTGAGGGATGCGAAGATGGACAAGAGCAGCGTCCATGATGTTGTCCTTGTTGGTGGGTCTACTAGAATTCCCAAAGTGCAGCAACTTTTACAAGACTTCTTCAATGGAAAAGAGCTGTGCAAGAGTATCAACCCGGACGAGGCTGTTGCCTATGGTGCTGCTGTTCAAGCCGCAATCTTGAGTGGTGAGGGCAATGAAAAGGTTCAAGATCTATTGCTTTTGGATGTGACCCCTCTGTCACAAGGGTTGGAGACTGCTGGTGGTGTCATGACCGTTCTGATTCCGAGGAACACCACAATTCCCACCAAGAAGGAGCAAGTGTTCTCTACATACTCGGATAACCAACCAGGTGTGTTGATTCAAGTATATGAGGGTGAGAGAACGAGAACTCGAGACAACAATCTGTTGGGCAAATTTGAGCTGTCTGGCATTCCTCCTGCCCCCAGGGGTGTTCCTCAGATCACTGTATGCTTTGACATTGATGCTAATGGTATCTTGAATGTCTCTGCTGAGGACAAGACCACTGGTCAGAAGAACAAGATCACCATTACCAATGACAAGGGAAGGTTATCAAAGGAAGAGATCGAGAAGATGGTACAAGAGGCCGAAAAGTACAAGGCTGAGGATGAGGACCACAAGAAGAAAGTTGAGGCCAAGAATGCATTGGAAAACTATGCCTACAACATGAGGAACACCATCAAGGATGAGAAGATCAGTTCCAAGCTTGGCCCAGATGACCAGAAGAAGATTGAAGCTGCCATTGAGCAGGCAATTCAGTGGTTGGATGCGAACCAGCTTGCTGAGTCGGACGAGTTTGAGGACAAGATGAAGGAGCTGGAAGGCATCTGCAACCCCATCATTGCCAAGATGTACCAGGGTGCCGGTGGTGCTGCTATGGATGATGATGATGATACTCCTCCTGCTGGTGGTAGTGGTGCTGGTCCCAAAATTGAGGAAGTTGACTAAGCTCTTCAGTTTGCGTGATTGTAGTGACGATGATGATGATACTAGTAATTGGGTGGTGGTGGTTTTTAAGTGTCTATTTTCTAGTTTTTTTTGGTTTTTCTTTTTTAATATGATTAAAGTTTTGTTTCACCATTTAGTGATGATGGTGGTACTTCTAAGCAATTGAAACTCTATATTTTTGTCCTACATTACGTGGAATTTTGTTGTGGTATTTTGAAGGGTATTTTACTTTCGAAGATGTTGTAGCATGATCAAATTTTGGTTCGGCTCTATGGTTTGGTTCGATGTGTAGAACAATCACACCTGCAGGATTTTAGGTTGTTTGGTTTGTTCTTGCGAAACACTCATTGCACCTTTTTATTATTTTCTTCATGTATCAGTACATTGGATAGTGTAATGGATCTCATAAACCTGTGATACATAAGGTGATTAAAGAACAAAATAGTTAAAAATTTAATATATTTTTTACATATATCTAAACACTTCCACTCATATATATATATATATGGCTTGAGATTGTTATCAGTCCACATTGTCCATTGTGGATTGGATAAATCGATAAATTCTTTTGAGGATTTATATAGATTCTAGGGAAAGTAAGGGGGTATGGGGCTTTCACATTTTTTCCCTAATATGGGGGTGAGTAGTGATTGGTAGTTCGAATTTGAGTCTCCCGAATCCCCCGGATTCAAAAAACGACGTTGTTTTTGAATTTTATTTTTTTATTTTTTTATTTTCAGAAGAAGAAAATCAGAGGAAGAAGGAGGAGAAGAAGAAGAAGAATTGGAGGGGAGGGAGCCAACAAAATCGGGCTGGAGGCGGAGGAGGGACTACGACGAGCTGCTGTTGCGACGATAAGCCGGTCGATCTGCCATCGATCGGCAGCGGCGGAGGCGAAAGAGGGGCCCTCTCTCTCTCCATTCCCTCTTCTCTTTCTCTCTTTCGGGCTGTTCGCGGGGGAGGGGGGGATGGCCAAGCGGCGGAGCGAAGGATGGGCCCTCTCCTCTTCTCTCTCTCCATTCCCTCTTCCTTCTTTCTTTCGACTGTCGGCGGGGGGGGGGGGGGGGGGGGGAGGGGGGGGGGGGGGGGGGGGAATTTCGGGAGAGAGAGAGAGAGCCGCGAGAGCTCACTTGACCATAAGAATAATTGTTGGAGACCTGATCTGATTAGATAGTTGTTTCCAAAACTCTTGTTCCATCAATTTTAAGTATTCATATCCCTTTAAACCATTGTCCTGTTAGAGTAGTGTGGAGTAAAAACTAAAGAGATGTGTGTTCTATCAAATCGAGATAAATGATTTTTTGATTTGGAAAAGCCTGTGGAAAACCAGAATTCCTGCAAAATGGGCTCTCTCTTTATGGAATGTCATTCTTTCGGTGAGATGGCAACTAAAGAAAGAGGCATACAACTTGCTGTGCATTGTGAGAGAGGTGGAAAATCTGAAGAGGCATTGGAACACCTCTTCTTTCGTTGTCCTGTATCGCAAAAAGTGTGGAGAGGTACAGTGTTGGTTTGGATTTCACTTGTGGTTGACCTGTTTGCTTTAAAATTTCGTGGGCTGAATGGATTAAGAGCGTCAATGATGAAGACATAATTGTCCATTCTATTGCAATGTGAAATAGTTTGGTATTCCAGAATGAAGAAATGTCCATAGAGCAGACTTTAGGCCTCATAAATGAGCTTAATAGACAATGCTCCAATAAAAAAGTGCTATCTTTCACTAATTTGTTGATTGAATATGCTTCTGATGTGGTCGATAATTCTGCAATACATAATTGTTGTCTTCTTGTTAACAATTTTTCGTTACATTCTGTTTTCTTTATTAGAATTTTCCTAATAAAATACATACAATATATACATTTTTCATATTTTTTTTACCGTCTTTATATATATATATATATATTTTGTGGCAAAATTCTAACAATCTACAAAAGATGAGCATACAATTTCTTTCACCCAAAATCCCCAGACCCACCATAAAAATTTGATCAATTCAATTCTTATTTTTTGATTTCTCATTCATTTAATTGAGATCCATCGTATCAAATATTCATGATCTCGCTAAACCCAAATAGGTTTGATTTCAAAATTACTATTCGGCTTATTATAAAATTAAATCCGGTTAATTCTTCATTTTTTGTATCAGTTGGTTTGAAACAAGAAATTGATTGATACAATTACCACCATCACCACATCACCACCACCACTATCACCACTACACCATACCATTTTATTATGTATTTTTTGATAAATATTATAAAATTTTGCCGGAAATGTTATCTAATTTTTAGATAGTGTAATGATAATTTATTATTAGATATTATTTGTTATAACAATTGTGATACAATTATGTACCTTTATGGTAGAATTATTATTTTTTTTTCAAAATGTTATTCAATCATAACAGATTATATCATATTCTAAATTATTAAGTAATATTTCAATAAAAAATGCATAATATTATCATAAAAATACATAATTGTATCATCAATTTTTTTAAAAAACAATTTCACTTTAAAAATTGAACTACATGTAGGGAGTAGTGACCAGTATAGCTACAAAATGGGAGGAAAAATAGGTAATGATTGGTGAAAGAAAAGAGCAAATAGAGGGTATTTTTGACATTTCTTTACAAAAGTTAACGATGTCTAAGGAAAAGTTAACAGAAGAAAAGTATTTGTATATTGTTAGCTAAAGTAAGGGAGGTCAGTGTAATTTTCAAAACCTTAAGAGAGATTCATCTAATTATCAATAACTTCAGGGGAGATAGATTAGTGTAATTTATCCATTTTTTTCTTTCAATTTGTCAATATTAATAAATTTTGCTATTTTTTTTCGTTTTACTTTTTTCATTTACTATATTTTTTGACAATATTTTAGATATTTTAATGAATCTTCGACAATGGTATTGATATCCAACGACGTTTGGACATTTCAATGACTTTTGATGAAGTTCAAAACACTTAAACAATAATATTCTTAAATTAAAAAATATATATTTTTTAATAATAATAAAAAATATATATGAGTAATTAATTGGTACAAATATTTTATTTTAAAAGTAAATCGATTTTGAATTGTGAAAAAGACGATTGGCTGGTCAGTGCCCATATCTAAATTCTATTTACCCAAATGAGTGCCAAATAAACAGAACAAAAAATATTACAACAAAGTCTGGATTTATAAAAAGTAGACAAAACGTTTTGGGACAACAAAGTGAGCGATTTGTGACAGAGGAGGATCTGATCTTGCACATTCCCTGGTTTCAAGACTTTCAAGTCCATCTCCGCCATGGATTCATCAGATTCGAATTCTTCGACGCATTTCGAGAGAGAGCGTCACGTACGCTTCCTGGAGATGATGTACGAATTATTGCCATCGGAGTACCAGGGTCAGGAGATCAATCGCCTAACCCTTGCCTACTTCGCCATCTCCGGCCTCCACATGCTCGGTGCCCTCGATCGCGTACGTTTCATAATTCACTTCTTCTTCTTATTCGCTTCAATTCTAATTGTTTTCGTGAAAATTGAATTTGTATGATCGATTGTTTTACGTGCTATGTTGCCTTGAAAATTTTCTCATTCTTTGTCATTCAATTAAGCTTCAACAGAGTAATATGTGTATACGAGCTGACAAGCTGTGGTTGCAAACACAATTGTAGATCTAAATTTTTTAGTAGTTTGGGGCGGTTTCATAAAGAAAGGGATGGGTTAAATTTGAAAATGGTTTAGAGCAGATACTGAAGGTGCAATTTGCATTTAACCATTTTAGGAGCATTCAAAATTATGTAGAGATGAGATGGGAACTCCAATCCAAGACCTGTCTTTAAACGACATCTTTACCACTTGAGCAATACACGACATATATATATATATTTATATCAAACTTAAAATTAAAATTTATATTTTATAGATTTAACAGCACACCCATCAGGTGGGCATGCGGCAAGTGCGCACACACTTGTGGAATTTTTTATCTAAATTTTGGGTGGTTTGCTTAATGAGAATTATGGGTAGGTTTTGAAAATTGATTAACAGATATTTACGGGATGTAGCATGTTTATTCAATCTGTTAGTAATTTTATGGCCATTTTTGGAAATGAAATTGTTTGACAAATCTTCACACTAAAGTGAGGTTTGTGTTTTATATAATAGAATAGGTATATGCACTTTTGTTTTTCAAATCAAGTAAATGCTTTAGAAGGTGGATTCAATTAGTTTGTTTTGGTATGTTGTATAGACTTGGGTCATTGTGTTTTTGCATCAAGAATGGAACTTCAATGAATGTACAAACTCTATCGCACTCTAAGAAAGGCAATGTAATGAATTGTATGTTGTTTATTAGGTTGACAAGGAAGGGGCCATTAATTGGGTTTTATCATTGCAAGCACATCCGAAGAATGAGTCTGAACTGAAAAACAGTATGCTTTGTCGTGTTAAGAAATGCTTGATCTTGTCATTTGGTTTCAACTTTCAAGTACCTTGTTTGTGGTGAAGCTGAATCTTTGTATGGGTCATTGGGTTGCTGCAGGACAATTCTATGGATTCCATGGTTCTAGAAGTTCTCAATTTCAACCGAACGATAGTGCGGTATATCAACTTTTTATGCATTAACTATTCTATTTATAGTTAACATTGTTTTGATCTAATGATCCAGGCACTAAATGGTATATCTTTATTATTATTGTTTTACGGAAAGATATTTAATTTAGTTGCCTTTGCTTGTAGGTTTGGATTCCCAATGGTAGTCACTTGGCAAGCACATACTGTGCGCTGGCGATATTGAAGACTTTTCGCTATAATTTGTCACATATGGACTCTGAATTAATCTTGAAATCAATGAAAAACCTTCAACAGCCAGATGGGAGGTAATTTTGCACTGTGCTTACACTTGTTTTTCCATCTCCAGCTTTTCTTTTTTATGTACATGGGTATTAATTGTCTTTCGGAAAAAACCTAGCTCATATCTGAGTGACTTTTGGAACATGTATTAATATTTCTGCATATCTATATTGGCATCTAATATTGCAGCAGTACCATAGGGAAATAAGAGCATAAGTGCACACAAGGTGTACAAAAAATCAGATTTAATAAAATCAATAAAATCCAGAAAAAGAAAGAGTACCAAGAATTTGGTAGAATGGTCACCATAATAACATTAACAAAGTTCAGAAAATAATATATATAGCTGAAGGAGGCAAAGCTCCTGGTTCTTGAAAGCCTTCTGCTCCTTTCTCACCACAAGAACTAGACAATTTGATGGGGCAAATGTCATATAGTTTCAGATTGCAAATACTATTGAATGGCTAATGCTGAAAAGAAAGAAAAAAGAAAAAAAAAAATTCCATATCGCCACTCTCCCAACAAGAGAACATAAAGTCTGTAGCCCATCATTCCTCCGCTTGATTTATACTTTTGAGTGTTTTATACTTGTAAGTTGTATCCTTGTTCCTTTTAGGAGATTGGTGTATCCATATACCATTGGCTATTTCTACCCCCTTAGGTTGATGTCTTGTTTCCTAAAAAAATGGTGACTCCAAAGAAAATATTGTTAGCAGTAATGAAGTCAAACCCAAACACTATTCTTGTGAATCGTACAATGTATCAAGCAAAGAAAACATATCATGGGATTTCTACCTCTATGTATCTATTCAGTTTATTACTTCATTCCTAAAGGACATAAATAGATAGAGCTCAACATTGCCCCTTGTTTTAGGCCTAATCCATATGGAAATCAACTTCCTCTCCCCTTATTCCTCTCTAATTAGTTATTACCCTATAAATGTCCTCCTTACGTCAATAGTCAACATGATTATTTTACACCTCCTTTCCCTCAACTCAACAAGTATTTGTCCCAATTACTTTAGATCAGTATAGTTATTTGATACTATTACATATACCTTATATCATTACCCTTGCATAATGCTAAAATGATTTTCCAACTTCTCTTATCTGGTTTTGTTGCAGTTTTATGCCCATCCATACTGGGGCAGAGCGAGATCTTCGATTCGTATTTTGTGCAGGTAAGGAGATATGTCCCATGGATGTACACCATTAAGCTGTTTAAATTTGAATATCTTTTGGATGAAAAGTTAGTATAGCTATTTGCTGTCTCAGCTGCCATCTGTTCTATGTTGGATGACTGGAGTGGCATGGATAAGGAAAAAGCCAAGGATTACATATTAAATTGTCAGGTTTGTAAAGCATCTAAACCAGTCTTCAGCTGTCTGCTTTTGTTCCGCCTCCTGTAATTTATTGATTATACATCTTGCTACTCCAATATTAGAAAAATCAGTGGTTTTCATATGTTCTTACAAGTAGCACTATCCTTGCAGTCATATGATGGTGGCTTTGGGTTGATTCCTGGATCAGAATCTCATGGTGAGTGGATTCAAATTCTGAATTCTTGCATGATCTATCTCTGAGTTCAAAAAGGCCTCGTGTGCAGAATCTCTTAACCAATTGGTTGCAAAATTATCTGTTTTTCTTTACTGTGGTTATTTTGGATGGTATTATAGGTTAAGATTCATGTGTACAACTTGTTTGTTAGGAACAACATAATTACATGTTTACATTAGATTTGGCTGCTGAGAGACTACGGTAATTGACTCTGTTCTATGGGTCAGGAAAAGAAGTCACTTGTTGTACATTTTTAATATAAGACATTGTTCTAAATAATCTTTCAGTATAAGACAGTAATTAACTCTGTTCTAAACAGTTGAGACAATGCTATGTGAGTTGAATGTGTTTTTCCAAAGATACTAAACATGTAAAACATTAGACTCTAAGTGGTCTCTTTTGTGTTTTTCTTTAGCTGCTATCATGTGTGAGCTATTCAAGTCATTTTCCATAAATTGGCCAAATCTTTTTGCCTGTTTTTTCCACAGGTCATTTCCTCTTCCAGTAATATTTGTTAGTGGATTTATTTGAACCAACCCCATGTTATAGTTTTAACTATTTCAAAGTCAGATTGTCTGAATACTCATTTGTTTTAGTGGCACAGGTGGTGCAACTTATTGTGCTGTTGCGTCTCTCCGGTTGATGGGATTCATTGAAGATGATGTATTGTCTAAAGGAGCATCCTCTTCCATCATAAATGTGCCATTGCTTCTGGATTGGAGCCTACAGGTTTATTTTCTCATTTAATACGTAAAGGGTATTTACTATGCCCTGTGCTTCTGACACATGAACTGGGATAAAGCTGTTCAGAGCCAAAGGAACTTCCAAATGATTCAATGCTCATAAATGAATCAAATGACATTTCATGATCTTGCATTTTATCAAACAATTTGCATGTTTGACGTTTTTGTGGTATATCCTTGATGAATTCTCAGCTCTGAGAGTAATTTCACTCTCTTCCTTTTCTTCATGCAGAGGCTGGCAGCTGATGGTGGATTTCAAGGTCGACCCAACAAGCCTAGTGACACCTGTTATGCCTTTTGGTAAATTCCAAAATACCTTCTTAAAACCCCATGGTCTTAGTTGCAGTTCTTGTGGCTTAACACAGCAATGTTCTTCTATAGGGTTGGAGGAGTTCTGAGGATCTTAGGGGCCCACAAATTCATCGACGAGAAAGCATTACGCCAATTTTTGTTAACTTGCCAGTCCCAGGTACTACTGTTTCTCCTTCTGCTTCCTTAGATCTATTATTCATTACATAAAGTGAAAGTGCTTAACAATGATTAGAAGGGTTCCATCATATGAGCCATGACATACTTGAAAAAATTATATGAAATATGCATAATTATATAGACATTATACTCCATACAGATCCTCATTGTCTTTGTTTTTCTTTTGGAAACTTATTTATTGCAATGTTGATGTAATTTTACTCGCATACATGAAGCATATCTATTAGATTTTCCTGAGGTAATTTACGAAGTTCTGATTTTCATTTTCTTGGACTCGTTCCTGCACCAGTATGGTGGTTTCAGTAAATTCCCGGGCCAGCTTCCTGATCTTTATCACTCCTACTACGGATTTTCTGCTTTCAGTATGCTAGAAGAACCTGGTGTCAACCCAATTTGTGTTGAACTAGGAATAACAGATGTTGCTGCCATTGAACTCTGATTCTACTGTTGTTTTGACAATCGTGCTTTTCAAAGAATCATAGGGGGTTATCCGTTTCATCTCTAGATTTTCTTTACTTGGCGCATTATCACCAATACAATGAATTGATGCAACTTACAACTATTATCTAGTGTTGTAACATTAGGGTAAGGACAGAATGTCTATTGTGACCATATTCATTTAAAGATTGTTCGCTTTATTTGGGAATATTCATCCGTCTCTTTACATCTGATGTTTTTAATAAACTTGTAGGAAGAGTGACTTGCGTTGGACTGCCGTAATATGATTTTTTTAGAGTAAACTACAGTAAGCCTCTTAAATTACGATTCATTTACACTTTGTTTTTTTAAATTTTAAAACTCAACAGATGTTAATTGTAATAAGATAATACTTTGAGAGACTTAATTGCTGAGTTTTAAAATTCAGGGAGATAAAGTGCAACGTCATAATTTTAGAAGATTTAATGTAATTTGCCTTTTTTTTTAATGAATTTTTTATTAAGCATTTAATTTCCACCAATAATCTTGCCATATGATAAATGATTCCAAAAGAAGGATAATACATTATTATTATAATAGAAAAAGGCACTTGAAAAAGCACTTGTCAAACGCTAAGGTTGGATTCCTCATTATAATTTTTTTAAAATGAAAAAAAGAAAATAAAAGAGGAAGTATACTTCATGAGCAGTTGTAAATGAGTAATAGTGGTTTTTTTTTATTTTTTTTTAAAAAGTAAGTTTGTTTATCTATTAAATCACTCACAAACAAGTTTTAATTAATATTTATTTTTAAAATAATATTTGATGGTACAATGTGTTATAAAAGAATAATTTTAATTTATTTATTTTGATAATATTAGCTCTATCGTTATATAAAATTATTAATTGAATACTTATATATATATATATTAATTTTAGTTAAATTATTGGTATATTTTGATAATTTTAGTTCTATTATATTATAAAAGCATAATTATCATATAATAATTTTGTATGATATATATTAAATTATAAAATAGTAAAATAAATATTCATTTTGATATTAAAAATAATAGTTATATTAGAAAAAGAATTAGTAACATAAAGTTAAAAGTAATTTTAACTATTTAATTTTCTTTTATATTTATTTTATATTCATTTTGGAAAATAAAAATATGTAGAAATATAAATTATATAAAATTTATTAAAAAAATTAATTGTAAATGTTGTAGTTATATGATATATATATATATATATAAGATTATAAAATAAACACTCTTAATTAAATATAAAAGAATTTCAATAACAACTAATCAAGAAAATAATATATAACAACATCTAAATCCAAAAAGAAAAAATAATGAAAACATCCAAACCACAGATATATATCAGTGTGTGAAGTGATTAATCATCTGTAATATGATGTCAAAAAATAAAAGAACTTACTGTTCAATAATTGAAAAAGTAACTCAAGCAGTAAATCTAAACTTTAGAGGTTCCTCGAGAGTATCATTGTTGTGCAGGTTTTTCCTCTTATGAGTTGTGATTATATAAAATGATGTGAGAAAGGAAGTATAATTTCATTTATGGAATCACTATAAAATTTAAACGACAAATCCGTAATATAATTTAATATAGAATTGGTATTGGGTATAAAATAATGCACAGGAAAATAAGAAGAAAAAAAAGGCAATTTAACATTAACAAAAAATCCTAATACCCTTAAAATAATTAATAAGAAAAATGTGAAACGTAAAATTGGTATTAAATTTGTAAATTATCTCAATTTACGATAAAAAATATATGAAAAAAAAAATATTTGTCACATAGATTACATATAAAATAGGTAAAGTTAGTATAATGTAAATTATATTTGCTGATGTAACTCTTTTGGAAAAAAGTAAACCCTTATAATGTGTCACTTAAGTATAAAAAAAAAAAATACTACGTTTAATAATATATACATATATATATATATATATATATATATTATAAATGATTTTGGTTCATCCCTTTCTTTTCTTTTTTTTAATTTAAATAAGGTATTTTGGAAAAACTTAAAATATGAAACAAAAATGTGTCACCCGAAGTCTTCACTTTACATATTACCAGCTGTAGGGCACATGCGATGCGTGTAACTCAATATACATATATATATAATATTAAAATAATAATTTTTCTTCAAGTATGTTTTTAAGTTTTATTTGTTTATTTATTTTAAGAATAATCCAAATAATGTTGTGAGAAAGATCATGAAAAACGTTAAATATCTATTTTTAATTTTAATAACTTTTGTTGTCCTTATCATCCATATATTTATCTTTTATTTTTTCAATCAAATTTAAAATTATATTTGTACATAAATTTTCGAAAAAATTAGTTTAAGGTTACTCTCCCATTTTTAGTAATAAAAAAGATCCACAATATTATTTTTTAATGTCTAAGGTCCCTAAACCCACACCCATATATCATATCAGAGAAATTTGACTCTCTTTATTTCTGATCTTCATTCTATCAAACCTCATTTCTCTCTACCTTCTCTATTTCATCTCTTTCTCTCTCATCATTCAACCTGTCTGCTGTCTTCTTCCTCCATTTCTTTACCCCCAAGCAAATTCTCCAATCCCACCCAATTTGATTCTCTTGTAACCTCATCTTCTCCAATTCCTGGTCAACCTCGCCGTTCTAAACCTCTCCTCCAACCTCCTCTCCGTCCAAATCCCACCCCAAATCGCTTTCTGCGCCTACCTCAACGTCATCGATCTCAGCAATAATCTTCTCACTGGTCCGATTTCGCAGCAACTGGGGTTTTTGGTGCTGTTATTGGTTTTTGATGTGTCGAATAACCGGTTGGCGAGTCCGATTCCAGTGGCGCTGGGGAACCGGACTGGGAATTTGGTGAGGTTCAATACCAGCTCGTATGTGGGGAATAAGGATCTCTATGGGTACCCATTGGCGCCATTGAAGAGTAAAGGCCTTTTAATTATGGCGATTGTGGGGATCGGATTGGGAAGTGGGTTGTTGAGCTTGGTGCTCAGTTTTAGTGTTGTGTGTATATGGTTGAGAGTTTTTGAGCAGAATATGACTGTTGAAGAAGGTAAAATTAGTCAGCTCATGCCTGATTATTGAGCTTATCTCAAAAACTAATTAATGCTTTAAACAAAAATGAATTTAAGGTAGACAGATATATATGATTGATAATGGGTTTTTGGTTTTTCACTTTGTTGTAATTTTTTGTTTTTTGGGGGCAAATTTTATTAATTTCTGCAAGTTTTTTTCTTTTCTTTTCTTGGAATTTTGTAGTCTTTGTTAACAACCACCTCCTCCTTCTTCTTCTTCTTCTTCTTTTTTTTTTTTTTTTTTTTTTTTTTGTGTGTGTGTGTGTGTGTGTGTGGCTCTTTTGTGCTTTGTTCACAATTTTTACTAGTTCAACAATTAACAATGAATAGATGATTAAACAAATTCAGAAGTTGAAATGTGAGATTTTGGTGAAATTATTTGAACTATTTTGCTCCTCTGTTTCTCTGTATATAAATAGTGCACTATCTTTGTGTGTGTATGTGTGTGTGTGTGTCTCTCTCTCTCTTTCTTTAATGGAAAAATTATTTTGCTCCTCGGATACATAGAATCTTTCTTTGTGATTTGTGAGAAGTTGCAACCAGTGCAGTCATCAAGCTGTGGGTCTCAAGGTTGTGTCATTAGAATCTATATTTTAGTCCATGAATTACAGAGTGTAGATTGAAATTAATAGGTATTGATCTCTAGATTGAAATGTTCAATTTTTTCTAGATTGAAATTTTCTCTGGATGTTCAAATTTCTCTGGATTGAAATTTTTTCTAGGTATTCATTCAATTTTCTCTAGATTGAAATTTGGAATCCATGTTTTAGTCCATGAATTATAGAGTGTAGATTAAATTAATAGGTATTGAATTAATAGGTACTGGATCTCTGGATTATATCACTACCCTCATGAATTACAGAGTGTAGATTGAAATTTATAGGTACTGATCTCTAGATTGAAATATTCAATTTTCTTTGGATTGAGATTTTCTCTAGGTGTTCATTTAATTCTCTCTGAATTGAAATTTGGAATCCATGTTTTAGTCCATGAATTACAGAGTGTAGATTGAATTAATAGGTACTGGATCTCTGGATTATATCACTACCTTCATGAATTACAGAGTGTAAATTGAAATTAATAGGTACTGATCTCTAGATTGAAATGTTCAATTTTCTCTGGATTGAAATTTATCTGGGTGTTCAAATTTCTCTGGATTAAAATTTTCTCTGGATGTTCATTCAATTTTCTCTGGATTGAAATTTGGAATCCATGTTTTAGTCCATGAATTACAGAGTGTAGATTGAATTAATAGGTACTGGATCTTTGGATTCTATCACTACTTTCGGAGGACTAATATTAAGAAGCAGAGCAGTGTCCAGAGAAATTTGAAATTTTCTCTGTGATATGTCCAGAGAAATTTGGGATTTTCTCTGTGATGTGTCTAGAGAAATTCTCCGGATTGATGTTGAGGAACCTTAGACATTATGAAAATATTGAGTGTCTTTTTTATGCTATAAAATCTTAATACCGAGGACCTTAAAAAAAAATCCCCAAAATTTTCAAGGTATCTTATTTCCTTTTCTTTTTTTTTTCTTTTCAATTTTTATATATTTTGGAGTCTTGTTAATCAATAAACATAAAAAAATAATCAAATAAATTGAACCTTATCTAATATAACAAACAAATTAAAAATTATCTGCTACTCATACATAATTTTATAGTTATCCTATCTCTTTTCTGTTATTAATTTAAAAATATTTTGGAATCTCCTTAGTGTAACTTCTTATTATATATCACAATAAATGAAAAATAAAAAAAAAAATATAAAAGAAATTGAGAGAAAACTGGGGAGAAAGATCATGAAAAAAAAATTAAATGTCCATTTTTAATTTTAATAACTTTTGGTGTCCTTCTTATTATCTATAAATTTATTTTTTATTTGCTTAATCAAATTTAAAACTATATTCGTACATAATTTTTCAAGGTATCTTATCTTATCTTATCTTATTTATTTATTTTTTAATTTTAATATTTTTGGAGAGTCTTCTTATTATCTACAAATAAATTGTTAATTAATAAATATAAAAAATAAACAAATAAATTCAACCTTGTCGGATATAGCACACAAATTGAAAATTATCTATTACTCATGCATAATCTTATAGGTATCATATCTATTTTCTATTGTTAATTTTAAAATATTTTA